TTCCTCAGCAGTTGAGGCACCAACATTTTCTTTAAGGCTTCAATCAGTGTCCGCCCTTCCCCGGAAATTTAAGTCCGTCCCCCATCCGAATGTTTCAAGTGCCACCCCCCCCCCCCCCCCATCGAGAAAATGTCTGATAGAAACACTGGCCGCCATACATTTTACTGCCCGAAAACCAATTCACCAACCCACATTTCTCCCAGTGTCTCTTTACCCTGTAAAAGAATGTTTTTGAACTCCATGTGAAAAAACAAAAAACAACTGAATTTAATTAAACAAATATAATAAAACCTTTATAATCGTAAGCTTTTAAATGCACCGAAAGCAAGAAAACATAATTAATTCGCTGTCTTTAATAATAGCATTGGGCGCTCATAAAATCTCTTGCATATTTTTAACCACCCTTCCACCCCACCCCGGAGCGCTATGTCTGAAAGAAACCTTGCTTTTGGTCAATCGTTGGCAATCAAGATTTTCTCATTCCCCTGTCCATTTCTTTCTCACCCTCTCTCAAATCTCACCACATCCATTTTTTAGTTTTAGAAAACTTTGTTAGTGAACGTTAACAAATTAGTTGCTGTGTCGAACTTTAACACGTTTTTTTTTTAAAAAAAAAGAAGCGTTAAAAAGTTTATGGATGACCACAAAAGATGTAAAATTAAATCACATGACAACAAAACATGTTAAATGACCACAAACGATGCTTTCCTAGCAGTAAAAATTCAATTGTTGTTTCCACCGTAATACAGTTCTTGGCTTGTGTAAATAATGTGCCGCAGCCCCCCCCCCCCCCCCCCATACGGTTACAGTGATCAAAGCAAGTCACGTGGTATACAAGTAACAGCTTGGACTGCTAGGGCGACACTCTGATCAATTTTAGACCGCTCTAAAGGTTGGAGGTCATAGGTCACGCAGGCTGTGTGCATTGGGGGACAACGCGCTGAGCTGTTAGAATAACAAAAGTTGTTGGACAAAAGTTGCTAGACAAACAAAAGTTGTTGGACAAACAAAAGTTGTTGGACAAACAAAAGTTGTTGGAAAAAGTTGCTGGACAAACAAAAGTTGTTGGATAAACAAAAGTTGTTGGACAAACAAAAGTTGTTGGACAAACAAAAGTTGTTGGACAAAAGTTGCTGGACAAACAAAAGTTGTTGGACAAACAAAAGTTGTTGGACAAGCAAAAGTTGTTGGACAAACAAAAGTTGTTTGACAAGCAAAAGTTGTTTGACAAGCAAAAGATGTTTGACAAGCAAAAGTTGTTTGACAAGCAAAAGATGTTGGACATCCTACAAATATTGTCCGAGACCTTTCTAAAAAAAAGTTTCATGCATACTTCTGTTATTTAAACCGACATTGTCGTGCGCTAGAGGCTTAAACTTAAGAATTCTTAGAAAGATGCCGTTACAGTAAAGACTGGATTCAATGACGCATGGTGTTGATGATGAATTCAGGGTCTGACGTAGGATGGTGATTAGCACATTAATTAGCATTAATGTGATCTATGGGTGTTCTCGCGAGTTGAGTAATTTTTTTTCCTACTTTGTCGGGCTACTGTAGAGAATAATCCGTCGATAATCCGCAGATTTGTGACGTCAGCACCGCCATTCAAATTAGTTATCCGCGCTAATCAGGGTATTACACTCGAGAAATCAATGGCACTGTTAGCAGGTGTTGTCGTGTAGTTTATAAGTCGCCTGGTCTGCTGGTAGATTTGATTTAACCACTTACATTTATTTGTCTACGGTAAATTGTATTTGACTACGGTAAATTGTATCTGACTACGGTAAATTTGATCTGACTACGGTAAATTTGATCTGACTACTGTAAATTTGATCTGACTACGGTAAATTGTATCTGACTACGGTAAATTGTATTTGACTACGGTAAATTTGATCTGACTACGGTAAATTTGATCTGACTACGGTAAATTGTATCTGACTACGGTAAATTTGATCTGGCTACGGTACATTTGATCTGTTTACGGTAAATTGACTACGGTAAATTTGATCTGACTACGGTAAATTGCATCTGACTACGGTAAATTTGATTTGACGCGGGCAATTAGTCATGCGTTACGGCAGGAATGTTGATGAAGGAGATGTTGATATTTTTGTTAAAATGGGGACACTTATCATTGAGACGTGCTCTCATTTCTTGCACACTTTGATGCTATTGAAAAAAAAAAAAGAGTTATTGCCTGTATTAAGGGGTTTGCCAAAACGGCTTGCTATTTAGCAATGTATGTTTTAAATTCTGCCAACCTGGCAACCGTGTGCTGTATGTAGATGCTGTTCGCGGCCTTGCCTTCCAGCTTAAGTGGACGGGGGGGGGGGGGGGGGGGGTATGTGGATTTTTGTTGAATTAAAGAATTATGACCAGGCATGTTCTTGATCACAACAATTACTGTCTGGCCCCTGGCTCCCCAGTTACCTGGCTAGCTAGCTACATGGCTACCTAGCTAGCTACATGGCTACCTAGCTAGCTACATGGCTACCTAGCTAGCTACATGGCTACCTAGCTAGCTACCTCAGTACCTGGCTACCTAGCTAGCTAGTTGTTGACTTAACCAAACACGTGCACGGCTAATTTATGGGTCATTAAAAACCCATTTCAGCACATCTGTCTAATTAAATGTCCGTGAGAGTTGTTTTTGTTCATTCAAATTCTCCAAGCTTTACGATCTGTTACCTGCATTCATAAACTTTTAGTGTAGTAGGTCTACTGGCGAGGTGGGGTGGTGATGGTGGGATGGTTATGGTAGGGGGGAGGTGGGACTGCCATAGTGGCTAATCTGGAGTCATGCTATCATCAGCTTATCTTTGTGCCTGATAAAAAGCTGCAGGCTGAGATAATTGCTGCAACACCAGTACTGGTATTGGGAGCTCTACAGATGTACTCGGCATAGCTACAGCAGTTCATGATTCTAGACATTCTACTACTGACAGGGGCTTTTCTATCAATGAAATCAGCATCGTGCTACTTTAGTCCATATTTGCCCACTGCTGTTAAAAAGGGCTTTTACAGAAATAACATCACCTGTAAGCTACATTAGCCCATATTTACCCACTGCTGTTAAAAGGGGCTTTTCCAGAAATAAAATCACCTTGGCTTTGTCCCTCAACACTATCATCATGATAGCGCCCCCCCCCCCCGCGCCCCCCCCCCGCGCCCCCCCCCCCCCGCGCCTACTATTTCAAAGTTATCCCATGACCATGTAGTCTAATTCTTACTAAAATGAAAATGTTTTTTACCTTTTAAGCATAATACATTCTATTTCTTAAAAACCTCTCCTTAAAGTCAACCCCTCCCCACCCCGCACCACAGGTGTGATGTCAGTTTTGGATGAACCCCCCCCCCCTGGATGACCCCCCTGGGGCCGTATGTGAAGCCTGTAGTGCATATGTCCTCCCCTGTCACTACTGTAAGTGACCAGTCCTTGTATTGCCATCAGTGTAAAGGGGCCAACACTCTGTAGTCAACTCCCACAAAACTAGCTGTGTTACCCAACACACACACCTACACACACTGCCAATGTTGACTTGATGACACATGTCAAGTGTGTACATGTCATCTCAGCTGTAAAGGGGACAACACTCTGTAGTCAACTCCCACAAAACTAGCTGTGTTACCCAACACACACACCTAGCCTACACACACACACACACCTAACCTACATACACACTGCCAATGTTGACTTGATGACACATGTCAAGTGTGTACATGTCATCTCAGCTGTTTACCAGCTCTTTTGTTGCCTCCGTCAGCTCAATACGAGGCTTGTGTAAGAACCAGCTAACAGTTGGTTTACCTTCATCACATAGGTTAGAAAGCTATTTCTCTTATGTTGATTCTTGTTTGGTGAAAAAAATGTATCTTTATGTAACATCTAGTCAGAAGTGTATTATAAGCAAAATCTTTTTATGGCGAAAGCTTGACACAAACTTATTTTAAGAATATTTTTTTATGTGCTGTATCTTTTTGTTTATAAAGCGAAAACAAATCAACTAAAACTACATTATCTATTTTAAATTATTTCGACCAACCTTAAAAAAATACCACCACCAATATTGAAATGAAATGTATTTATTTAGGGAATAATCCTCCCCCCCCCATTCCCCACTTTCCCCCCTAGAAAATTTCCCCTCCTCTCTCCCTAGACACGTGTAGGCCTATATAAGTGCAGCACAGAGTAATGAGATTCACATGTCTCATCACCTTTCACCTACACCTTGGCTGAATGTCAAAATACTTGTAATTATCTTGTGATTAACTTGATGTTAATTAGATTAGCCCAACCTCCAATGGTTTAATAACTGGGTGTTTTTTTTTCCTGGCCAGTTTGTGTTATGGTTTGTTCTATGAAGATGATAAAGTAAAAAAACAGTTTGTGATGATGTTGAAAGTTTGTTCTATGAAGATGATGTAGTAAAAACTGTTGTTCTATGAAGATGATAAAGTAAAAAAAAAACAGTATGTGATGATATTGAAAGTTTGTTCTGTGAAGATAATAAAGTAAAAAAAAACAACAACAGTTTGTGATGATATAGTTTGTTCTATGAAGATGATAAATTGAAAAAACAGTTTGTGATGATAGTTTGTGATGTTGTTCATAGTTTGTTCTATGAAGATGATATAGTAAAAAAATAGGTTATGATGATGTTGAAAGTTTGTTCTATGAAGATGATGTAGTAAAAAACCATAACAGTGTGGTGTGAAAAGATATTTTATATTATTGGTATCTATAAGGTTGTCACACTAAAAGCACTTAGTAGTTCTCTGTGCAGTAATTTCATTAGGTAAAAGATCTAAAAGCATTGGATCAAAGCCAATATGAAAAATGGGGTAGTAATTAAAAACAGATGCTCTGGGTTTTTTTTTATAAGCATATCTCACCATTGTATCAACATGGTATACAATGATGGAAAAAAGTTAGTTTTGTTAGTTACAATTTTAAAATACAATAATTTTATGTTTTGTAACACATTTTCTGTTTCTCTCAGGGGAGGCAATCCTCAACAAGAAGGCAGTGTATGAACCCACCAAAGGTCAAAGGTTCCGTCAGGTCGTCTGCTCCAAGGGCTGGGCCATCTGCATCCTGATGTCAATGGGCACCGCCATGATCGCCATAGCAGTGATTGCTGCGTTTGCCAGGCCAGGCTCCACCCTGCCACAAGAGCCTTGCAGCAACCAGCAGGCACCTGAGTCCTCAGGTCACAGCGCCGCTGACCTTCACCCTGGTTATGACAAACCTCAGACGTACATTGCCACCAACGGGGAACCCTTTCCCTGGAAAGATTTGAGACTCCCTGGAACAGTCGTCCCCGAGTCTTACAGTATATTCCTCCATGCTAACATATCCCAGTCGTATTTCAAAGGGAGGGTTGAGATGGTGCTTGAGGTGGTGTCGGATACGAACTTCATCGTGTTCCACACCCAGGACCTGAACATATCCGACCTGAGCCTGTACGAGGTGCTGGATCACAGGCTGGAGTTCAGCAAGACCAGGCTACAGGTGAGGCAGGAGCTGGAGTACCCCAGGAATGACCAGTACTACGTCAGGCTGGACAGTACCATCAGGGCCAAGACACGGCTGGAGCTCCACGTCAACTTCAGGGGGTCTTTGGAGAGTGTCAGCAAGATGAAAGGCTTTTACAAGAGTGAATATACAGTCAAGGGGGAGACGAGGTCAGTTTAGGTGTTGGTCAATGGGGGGGGGGGGGGGCATGTCAGCAAGATGAAGGGCTTTTACAAGAGTGAATATACAGTCAAGGGGGAGACGAGGTCAGTTTAGGTGTTGGTCAATGGGGGGGGGGGGGCATGTCAGCAAGATGAAGGGCTTTTACAAGAGTGAATATACAGTCAAGGGGGAGACGAGGTCAGTTTAGGTGTTGGTCAATGGGGGGGGGGGGGCATGTCAGCAAGATGAAGGGCTTTTACAAGAGTGAATATACAGTCAAGGGGGAGACGAGGTCAGTTTAGGTGTTGGTCAATGGGGGGGGGGGGCATGTCAGCAAGATGAAGGGCTTTTACAAGTGATAATGTTTGAATAGAATAGCTTCCCTTTGATAATGTTTGAATTGAATAGCTTCCCTTTGATAATGTTTTAATAGAATAGCTTCCCTTTGATAATGTTTTAATAGAATAGCTTCCCTTTGATAATGTTTGAATTGAATAGCTTCCCTTTGATAATGTTTGAATTGAATAGCTTCCGTTTGATAATGTTTTAATAGAATAGCTTCCCTTTGATAATGTTTGAATTGAATAGCTTCCCTTTGATAATCTTTGAATTGAATAGCTTCTCTTTGATAATGTTTGAATTGAATAGCTTCCTTTGATGTTTTAATTGAATAGCTTCCCTTTGATAATGTTTGAATAGCTTCCCTTTGATAATGTTTGAATAGCTTCCCTTTGATAATGTTTGAATTGAATAGCTTCCCTTTGATAATGTTTGAATTGAATAGCTTCCCTTTGATAATGTTTGAATTGAATAGCTTCCCTTTGACTATTCTCTGCCCACTAGATACATGGCCAGCACCCAGTTTGAAGCAACATCTGCCAGAAATGCTTTCCCTTGTTTTGATGAGCCTCAGCTGAAGGCCAAATTTAAAATGTCCATTGTCCGTAACAAAGAGCACATCACTCTATTCAACACGCCATTAAAAGGGAGCACGCCGTACGGGGAAGGTTTGGTGCAAGATGAGTACGAGGAGTCAGTGAAGATGAGTACGTACCTTGTTGCGTTTGTCATATGTGATTTCAAGAATATGAGCAAAACAACAGAGGATGGTGTAGAGGTGAGTGGTGCAGTTCATGTTTCTGATCCCATTCTCTGTGAATATCTGATGACTTTCTATGTGAATATCTGTCCACATTCTATGTTATTATCTGATGACATTCTATGTAATTATCTGATGACATTCTATGTAACTATCTGATGACATTCTATGTGAATATCTGATGATATTCTATGTGAATATCTGATGCCATTCTATGTGGATATCTGATCCCATTCTATGTGAATATTTGATGTGATTATATCATTATAAGATCCTATTCTATGTTATTATCTGATGACATTCTATATGATTATCTGATGCCATTCTTTGTAAATATCTGATCACATTCTATTTGAATATATGATCCCATTTTATGTGATAATCTTATCCCATTCTGTGATTATACTATCCTATTTTCTGTGAATATCTGATCATATTTTGTAAATATCTTAACACATACCATGAATATATAACCACATTCTATTAATCCATTAACATAATCCTGCAAGCTTGCAATGTTGTACTAAAATTATTTCACACTGCAAAATTATAAAACTATAAATTTCTCATGCTATGTTGGCTACTCACAAAATAAACTAGCCCTTTATTTTGGACACTGAGTCAAATGAAAAGCCTTATGAAAATATTGATGGGGTGTAAAAGTAAAGTAAATTTCCCTTTTCAAACCTGACGGTCTATAGGGCAAGTGAAGTAGAGTTCACTTGTTTCTGTGACCTCAGCATATGAAGAGATAGTGTGGTCAGCACTATTCCCAGCCGCCTTTACTTTCCCTAACGTGAGTAAGGTAACCATCATAGTTGGGTGGACTCAGGGATGGTTTACTGACTTGAACCCGGATTCAAACTCGAGACTTACTTTAATTAGAGATAATATGACTATGTCCTAATGTCTGTTTTATTAGAGATAATATGACTGTCCTAATGTCTGTTTTATTAGAGATAATATGACTATGTCCTAATGTCTGTTATATTAGAGATAATATGACTATGTCCTAATGTCTGTTTTATTACAGATAATATGACTATGTCCTAATGTCTGTTTTATTAGAGATAATATGACTATGTCCTAATGTCTGTTATATTAGAGATAATTTTACTATGTCCTAATGTCTATTTCCCAGTGTTTTATAAGAGATAATATGACTATGTCTTAATGTCTGTTTTATTAGAGATAATATGACTGTCCTAAAGTCTGTTTTATTAGAGATAATATGACTATGTCCTAATGTCTCCCACAGGTGCGCCTATTTGCCCCAGAAGATAAAATCTACATGGGAGAGTTTGCTCTCAATGCTTCTGTTACAGTCTTGAACTACTACAACTCTTTTTTTGGTATTCCTTACCCCCTTCCTAAACAAGGTACACAGCTTGAATTACAAGATTGTTTTATACATAGTTGTCTTCTAAATGATGTTGTATTTTTTTTTTTTTTTGCTGTTCCAGTTAATTTGACATTTAGACTTTATTTTAAAAGTATGTTAATTTGAATTACCACATTAATAAATATTTAAAATTATATGTAAATTAAACAATATTTTGATTCGTAATTTATTATTTACTGTGCTCTTTTTTCTTACAAGTTGTAATTCAACTGATTTGTCATTTTAGCCATTCAGTACCTAATGACTCCTTTGTGTACCTAATGACTCCTGTGTGTACCTAATGACTCCTGTGTGTGTACCTAATGACTCCTGTGTGTGTACCTAATGACTCCTGTGTGTGTACCTAATGACTCCTGTGTGTACCTAATGACTCCTGTGTGTGTACCTAATGACTCCTGTGTACCTAATGACTCCTGTGTGTGTACCTAATGACTCCTCTGTGTACCTAATGACTCCTGTGTGTACCTAATGACTCCTGTGTGTGTACCTAATGACTCCTGTGTGTACCTAATGACTCCTGCATGTACCTAATGACTCCAGTGTGTACCTAATGACTCCTGTGTGTACCTAATGACTCCAGTGTGTACCTAATGACTCCTCTGTGTACCTAATGACTCCTGCATGTACCTAATGACTCCTGTGTGTACCTAATGACTCCTGTGTGTACCTTATGACTCCTGTGTGTACCTAATGACTCCTGTGTGTGTACCTAATGACTCCTGTGTGTACCTAATGACTCCAGTGTGTACCTAATGACTCCTGTGTGTACCTAATGACTCCTGCATGTACCTAATGACTCCTCTGTGTACCTAATGACTCCATGTACCTAATTACTCCTGTGTGTGTAACCTAATGACTCCTGTGTGTACCTAATGACTCCTGCATGTACCTAATGACTCCTGTGTGTACCTAATGACTCCAGTGTGTACCTAATGACTCCTGTGTGTACCTAATGACTCCTCTGTGTACCTAATGACTCCACTGTGTACCTAATGACTCCATGTACCTAATGACTCCTCTGTGTGTACCTAATGACTCCTCTGTGTACCTAATTACTCCTGTGTGTACCTAATGACTCCTGCATGTACCTAATGACTCCTGTGTGTAACTTATGACTCCATGTACCTAATTACTCCTGTGTGTGTAACCTAATGACTCCTGTGTGTACCTAATGACTCCTATGTGTACCTAATGACTCCTGTGTGTACCTAATGACTCCTGTGTGTACCTAATGACTCCTGTGTGTACCTAATGACTCCAGTGTGTACCTAATGACTCCTCTGTGTACCTAATGACTCCATGTACCTAATTACTCCTGTGTATACCTAATGACTCCTGTGTGTACCTAATGACTCCTGCATGTACCTAATGACTCCTCTGTGTACCTAATGACTCCATGTACCTAATTACTCCTGTGTATACCTAATGACTCCTGTGTGTACCTAATGACTCCTGTGTGTACAGATCTAATAGCCATCCCCAACTTTGCTGCTGGCGCCATGGAGAACTGGGGCCTGATCACCTACAGGGATACATCCATCCTGTATGACCCTGCCATTTCTACTGAGGGCACCAAGAAATGGGTCACCATAGTTGTAGCCCACGAGCTGGCACATCAGGTAAGTTTTGTTGTGGGCTGGGTTAACCTGGTTTAACTAGGGGAAATGTTTACAGCTCACTTGTTTCTAGTGAACAGATTTCTTTCAAACGACATCAAGATCTGATGACAACATAGTTTTACATGAACTTGTACTTAATTAGATGATTTATTAATTTTCTCGATATTCTTTTTAGTAGAAAAATGACTTTAGCACTGGTCTAATATAAAGATTAGTGATCTCATGGTGTGTTGTAAAATGTTTCAGTGGTTTGGTAACCTGGTCACAATGAAATGGTGGAATGACCTGTGGCTGAATGAGGGATTTGCCTCGTATGTTGAACGTATTGGGGCTGACCAAGTGGATAAAGAATTTCATATGGTAACCAGGTTTACTTATGACATACGATAGGGTAACCACGTTTACATGTTACTTTTTAATTAAAGTTTACATTTACATGTTTCATTTTATATTTTTTATAAATTTTTTATAGGAGGAAAATAATTGTATAAATTATTTGTGAAACAATTGACTCAGTGTGATGCATGAAATTATTTTAAAATAAATTTGCAGATTGATTCATTCATGGAACCATTTAGTGGCTCCATGTATTTGGATAGTCTGGCCACTTCCCACCCAATAGAAGTTGAAGTTCTGGACCCTAGTGAAGTTGATGCAGCTTTTGACAAGATCTCTTACGATAAGGTGAAATACTGGCTTGAATTTTTTTTTTGGGGGGGGGGGGGGGGGGGAGGGGACTGGTTTGGGTGGAGGTGACTGGTTTGGGTGTAAGTGACTGGTTCAGTGGAGGTGACTGGTAAGGTGGAGGTAACTGGTTTGAAAATGGTTATACTTTTAATGATATCTGTGTGTTCTATGAATTCCCTATGAATTCTATTTAAAACTTTAAAACTGTTGTAGGGCGGGTCACTGATACGGATGCTCCAGAGTGTTATTGGTGAAGCTGACTTCAAGAATGGACTTACCTCCTACCTCAGAAAACACGAGTATGGGAACGCTGAAACAAAAGATCTCTGGGATGCTTTTGAGGAGGTGAGGAACTTTTCTCATACAGCCTGAGGTTCTGTAACTAAAGCAACACACATGTTTGAACTAAAGGAAAGAATGACTAAAAATTTGACATCAACGCATTCACTTAAAAGCCATAGTCCTGTTCAACAAATATTTTTGCAGAAAATTTTCTTTTTTAAAAAATAATTTTTACAAATATTTAGCAGCAAATTTGGTTTTAAAAAAATATTTTTTTAACAATTATTTTTTTGGAACATATTTTGTTTTAAAACAGTCTTATGTAACAAATATTTTAGCAGAGAATTTTGTTTGAAAAAAAACAAACTTTCTTAACTATGTAAATTGTTTTTGTCAGGCCAGTAATTTGGATGCAGGCCTAAAAGTATCTGTTGTCATGGATACATGGACCAAACAAATGGGCTATCCAGTTGTTACAGTTGTGAGGGAGAAGGGGAAACTACTCTTAACTCAGGAGAGATTTCTGATAATGAATGTCTCCCACAATCACTCTGTCAGCTCATACAAATCACCTTACAAGTAATTTTTTTTTTAAATTTTCACTTGTGATGCTATTTGTCAACATTGTTAAGTCATTTAAAATTAATGTGATATGTTCTAGGCCTGTTAATTGTAATTTTCTAAATTTGCATGTCATTTCAACAATTCTGATTTATGATCTCTTCTCTTAATCCCGTTCATGCTCAAGACACATGGGGCAGATGAAGTAGAGTTCATCTGATTCATTGACCTTGGCATATGAAGGGATAGTGTGGTCAGCATTATGCCCAGCCTCCTTTGTTTCCCATCAGAGCTGGGTGGACTCAGGGACAGTTCACTGATTTGAACCAGGCTTCGAACTCAAGTCTCTCGAGTTAGCACTCTAGTTCTCTACCTCTAGGCCATGCCTTCCCTTAAGGAGTAAAAAATATTCATTTACGAACATTTTCTCATTTTCGATGTAAATGACCATTATATACTTTTGCTGTCACCTATGGTAAAGTTGTGGGATGGGGTGGTCTAGCGGTAGAGAGCTGGACTGCTAACCCGTAAGTCTCGAGTTCGAATCCGGGTTCAAGTCAGTAAACCGTCCCTGAGTCCACCCAGCTCTGATGAGTACTTAACTCACGTTAGGGAAAGTAAAGGCGGCTGGGCATAGTGCTGACCACACTATCTCTTCATATGCCAAGATCACAGAAACAAATGAACTCTACTTCACTTGCCCCATAGACCGTCAGGTTTGAAAGGGAAACTTTACTTACTTTATGGTAAAGTTTGTGTAAAATTTTTTGGCCTTAGATTGTTTAATACTGTCTTGTGTAAAAGCCAAAGTGTTTTTCTTTCAGCTACAAGTGGTACATCCCCTTCACATACTCCACATCGGCCAACCCATCTCGACAAAGCCTGGTTTGGATGATGAAAGACTCCGCCTCCGTGGATCTGCCCAATGATTCGGTGGCCTGGATCAAAGGCAATGTGGGCAGCTATGGCTACTACAGGGTCAACTATGACAAGGAGGGCTGGCAGGCCATCATAAAGCAACTGAGGACTGACCATACTGTGTTTGCAGTCACTGACAGAGTGGGGCTTATCAGTGATGCTTTCTCACTGGCCAGGTAAACATCAGCAGTTTAGTTCAAATATGGAGGCTATATTTTGTACAACGTTTTCAATTAAGGTTTATAGTAAGCTCCAATTTGATACATTTTAGGATTGGTGTCTGCCATTTATTTTATGATATTTATAAAATTTAAGTAGAATTTATTGTTGGTAGTTTGACTTCATATGAGCAAACTTTGGTCTCCAAATAAAAAGTCCATTTGTGAAAAACACTTTTTTTTTCAAACTATTTGTACAGAAAGTACTTGCAGCCAAATTACTTTTGAAGACAATTTTTTAAATACAGTTATTTAAAAAATGGTATTGGTAATGCATGTGATAAAAATAGTTTTGTTTGACCCTACGAATCTACCTTAGCTCATTAAAAAAAAGGAATGTGTATTGTTTTTTAATGGACAATGGCATATACAATACTTTGTCAAATTTTTTTACAATAGAAATTTATTTTATTTCATCAGAGCAGTCCCTCTAGAAATGACCAAGTACCTAATCAATGAAATATTTCTTTTATTTCATCAGAGCAGGACTAATAGATTATACAGTCCCTTTAGAAATGACCAAGTACCTATTCAATGAAATGTTTTTTTAATTTCATCAGAGCAGGACTAATAGACTACACAGTCCCTCTAGAAATGACCAAGTACCTGATCAATGAAATGTTTTTTATTTCATCAGAGCAGGACTAATAGACTACACAGTCCCTCTAGAAATGACCAAGTACCTGATCAATGAAATGTTTTTTATTTCATCAGAGCAGGACTAATAGACTACACAGTCCCTCTAGAAATGACCAAGTACCTAATCAATGAAATGTTTCTTTTATTTCATTAGAGCAGGACTAATAGATTATACAGTCCCTTTAGAAATGACCAAGTACCTGATCAATGAAATGTTTTTTATTTCATCAGAGCAGGACTAATAGACTACACAGTCCCTCTAGAAATGACCAAGTACCTGATCAATGAAATGTTTTTTTTAATTTCATCAGAGCAGGACTAATAGACTACACAGTCCCTCTAGAAATAACCAAGTACCTGATCAATGAAATGTTTTTTTATTTCATCAGAGCAGGACTAATAGACTACACAGTCCCTCTAGAAATAACCAAGTACCTGATCAATGAAATGTTTTTTTATTTCATCAGAGCAGGACTAATAGACTACACAGTCCCTCTAGAAATGACTAAGTACCTGATCAATGAAATGTTTTTTTTTAATTTCATCAGAGCAGGACTAATAGACTACACAGTCCCTCTAGAAATGACCAAGTACCTGATCAATGAAATGTTTTTTTATTTCATCAGAGCAGGACTAATAGACTACACAGTCCCTCTAGAAATAACCAAGTACCTGATCAATGAAATGTTTTTTTTAATTTCATCAGAGCAGGACTAATAGACTACACAGTCCCTCTAGAAATGACCAAGTACCTGATCAATGAAATGTTTTTTAATTTCATCAGAGCAGGACTAATAGACTACACAGTCCCTCTAGAAATGACCAAGTACCTGATCAATGAAACCGACTACTTTGTCTGGGAAGAGGCCCTGAGCCACATCTACTTCCTGGAGAGCCAGCTGAAGCTGCAGGAGGAGTTTGACTTGCTGAAATCTTTCCTCCTGGGTCTGGCCAAGCCGCTCATAGACAAGCTGGGATGGGAGAACTCCGGAACTCATCTCACAAAGTTTGTAGTTTGGTTTAGTCATTTATTTTGTACCCTGAACTCATCTCACCAAGTTTGTAGTTTGGTTTAGTCATTAATTTTTAACTCTGGACTCATCTAACCAAGTTTGTAGTTTGGTTTAATCATTTATTTTGAACTCTGGACTCATCTAACCAAGTGTAGTTTTGGTTTAGTCATTTATTTTGTATCCTGAACTCATCTCACCAAGTTTGTAGTTTGGTTTAGTCATTTATTTTTAGCACATCTAAGATTTGTTACAGTAAATTTGCTTCTAATATTGTTGTCAGATAAATGACATTCTTCTTGTAAAATTTGTACTTAATCTATTTTGTTTAAAAAAAAATAATTTTTTTGTTTCAGAAAGCTGAGAGCTTCCATGATTACACTTGCCATATTTTTCTATTTTCAGAAAGCTAAGAGCTTCCATGATTACACTTGCCATATTTTTCTATTTTCAGAAAGCTGAGAGCCTTCATGATTACACTTGCTATATTTTTCTATTTTTAGAAAGCTGAGAGCCTCCATGATTACACTTGCCATATTTTTCTATTTTTAGAAAGCTGAGAGCCTCCATGATTACACTTGCCATATTTTTCTATTTTCAGAAAGCTTAGAGCTGTATGATTACACTTGCCATATTTTTCTATTTTTAGAAAGCTGAGAGCCTCCATGATTACACTTGCCATAGCTGTGGAGTACCAGCCTGCTGTGGATATTGGTATAAGCAAATTTAAACAGTGGATTCAAAACCAAAGCACACTGTAAGATTTCACTCCCAGTTATAAATGTTGTCTATTTCAGCTCAATGACTGTGTGTTTAAATGTTACAGATCTTGTTCTACCAACTAGATGGATTTTCGTGATATTCTACCCCTCTTTTATAGTGGAGTGTGATTTTTTCTCATTCTGTTTTTATGAACAACTTTTGTCCTTTACAAAAAAAAATAAATAAATAATAATGAATTAGGCCCAATATTTAAGACTTTTTTTGCTTTGGTATTGATTAGTTATAAAATGAAATGCCTATAAACAAATGTGATGTAGGCCTACTGGTGGAAACATTTTGTAATTTTAGTCCTCAATTTTCTATGTTATTTCCTATGAGCCGACCCGCGGTGGTTCATACGCCGCTATTTAGTTGTTTTTTCTACTTTTCAGTAATTCATAATTTGTGAATTCAACAGTACCAATGCTGCCACTGAAAATATTTGCTTTAAAACACTAACCTCCCCCCCCCCCTTTGTGAAAGCAGCCTCCTCTTAGTTACCTCCTCTAAGTTTAAAATCGTTTCAAACTAAATTATCTGCCCCTAATAGCCGTCACCAAACCCGGCTTACATTTAGCATGAACCACAGCTCACCTGACCATGTGAGGGGGAGGGGGTGGTAGCGATAGAGAGGAAGAGAGGGGACTGCAAGGCGCGCTTGCAGCTTGTTTTCTAACGTCTCCCAGAAGAGAATTATATATATAGATGTTGTGAGCATGCTCCACCCTCTAGGAAATATTCATGTTTCTCAGAATGAATGATGATCTCCGAGGCATCATCTATGGCACTGGGCTCAAGTACGGCAAGAAAGCTGATTGGGATATTGTGTTCCAGAGATACCTCACATCCAACGTTCCGTCTGAAAAGATTACGTTGTTGTCATCACTTGCTGATACTACGGATGCCAGAGTTCTTCAAATGTGAGTTTGTTTTATAGGGCTTTTCAAATGTGAGTTTGTTTTATAGAGCTTTTCAAATGTGAGTTTGTTTTGTAGGGCTTTTCAAATGTGAGTTTTTATATAGCTCTTCAAATTGAGTTTTTTTTTATAAAACTATTCAAATGTTAGTTTTTATATAATTCTTCAAATGTGAGTTAGTTTTTATAGAACTCTTTAAATGTTGTGAGTTAGTTTTTATGGAGCCCTTCAAGCGTGAGTTAGTTTTTATAGAGTTCTTCAAATGTGAGTTAGTTTTTATATAATTCTTCAAATGTGAGTTAGTTTTTATAGATTTCTTCAAATGTAAGTTAGTTTTTATAGAACTCTTCATATGTGTGTTAGTTTTTATAGAACTCTTTAAATGTGAGTTAGTTTTTATGGAGCCCTTCAAATGTGAGTTAGTTTTTATATAATTCTTCAAACGTGAGTTAGTTTTTATAGATCTCTTTAAATGTAAGTTAGTTTTTATAGAACTCTTATATACAAGAGTTAGTTTTTATAGAATTCTTCCAATGTGCTCTTTGAAACAACTTAAGTTAATTTTATATTTTTTAACCTTAATAGCAAATTAAACAACTTTATTAATATAATAGTTTGCCTAATAGCTCATGTATTAATGTTGATGTGTTTGTCCAGCTTTTTAGAATACAGCCTTGATGATACAAAGGTCAAGTCCCAAAATTCAGGGGACGTAATTGAGTATGTTGCTGCAAACAACAATGGGTTTCTGCTAAGCTGGAGGTTCTTCAGGCTACATTGGGATGAGCTGTATGAGAGGTTAGTTAAGGGTTAATAGGTTAGTTAGGGTTAATTGGTTAGCTAAGGGTGAATTGGTTAGCTAAGGGTGAATTGGTTAGCTAAGGGTTAATAGGTTAGCTATGGGTGAATTGGTTAGCTAAGGGTGAATTGGTTAGCTAAGGGTTAATAGGTTAGCTAAGGGTGAATTGGTTAGCTAAGGGTTAATAGGTTAGCTATGGGTGAATTGGTTAGCTAAGGGTGAATTGGTTAGCTAAGGGTTAATAGGTTAGCTATGGGTGAATTGCTTAGCTAAGGGTGAATTGGTTAGCTAAGGGTTAATAGGTTAGCTAAGGGTGAATTGGTTAGCTAAGGGTTAATAGGTTAGCTAAGGGTGAATTGGTTAGCTAAGGGTTAATAGGTTAGCTAAGGGTGAATTGGTTAGCTAAGGGTGAATTGGTTAGCTAAGGGTTAATAGGTTAGCTAAGGGTGAATTGGTTAGCTAAGGGTTAATAGGTTAGCTAAGGGTGAATTGGTTAGCTAAGGGTGAATTGGTTAGCTAAGGGTGAATTGGTTAGCTAAGGGTTAATAGGTTAGCTAAGGGTGAATTGGTTAGCTAAGGGTTAATAGGTTAGCTAAGGGTTAATAGGTTAGCTAAGGGTGAATTGGTTAGCTAAGGGTTAATAGGTTAGCTAAGGGTTAATAGGTTAGCTAAGGGTGAATTGGTTAGCTAAGGGTGAATTGGTTACTTATGGAATTTTGTTTTATAATTTGGTTGATGAATTTAGGTAAATTAAAGAAATTTAGTTTATTTGATATTATGTGTTGAATTTTATAGATGGCAACAAAATATTTGCACATTTGAGTTTTTCTTAAAAAAAAATACATGTTTTTATTTGTTTCTTTAGATATGGGGACAGTGCTTTCATCTTGTCCAGTGTATTAAAAAGTGTGACTGTACCTTTTAGTACACAGTTTGATTATGATGAGGTTTGTGTGATTTCATTAAACTAAGTTTATCTTCTTACCCCCCTCTCCCCTTTTAATTATTTATATTGACCATGTTTCTGTATACAGATTCTGATTGCCAACAAAGTTTGCAAAGTTTCTTTCATAAGATTTAAATTATTAAAAACTTTTGTCGTCAGCTACCAACCAATAGCCATTTTCAAACAGCAAAGTGTGCTTTATTCTAGCTGCTTTAGAATTTATGTATTAAAAAAAAGCAGTTTACAGCTACTAGATCTATTACGTATAAAGAAGTTAAGCTTTGGTATCACCTAGCACATCACTTTTTCCCATTTGTGCCCAAGACATATGGGGCAAATGAAGTAGAGTTTATCTGTTTCAATGAAGGGATGGTGTGGTCAGCACTATGCCCACCCACCTTTGTTTCCCTAATGTGAGTCATGTACCCATCAGAGCTGGGTGGACCCATGGACATGCTACAGCCTTGAGCCTGGTATCCGAACTTAAAGACTTTAGTGTTAGCAGTCATAATATTTACCACTTGACCACGCCATCCCCTGTACTATCACCAGTTTAAAGCTTTCACCTATACAGAAATGTAAAATTACAACAAAGCCAATGGTAAGTTTGTTTAACTTTTGCAGATAGTCAACTTTTTCAAGAACAAAGAGCTAGGAACTGCCAAGATGGCTCTAGATCAGGCTCTGGAAGTTGTACAGAGCCACATAGACTGGGCTAGGAGAAACATGGACACTGTCAAGCTATGGCTCAAGACTAATGTTAGTCCGAAGTAAAACTTTATTTAAACATTTTGTGGAGTAATGTTAGTCTGAAGAAAAATTTTTTTTTAAAATTATGTGAGGTAATGTTAGTCCAAAGTGAAATTTTATGTTAAGCAAAAACAAGTGTTCTCATAAAGCAGAGTGGTAACTCCCTTTTGTTTAGTCTTTTGGAAAGCAGAAAATATCAGTCAATTGTAAAAAATATCCAAATTTTTGCTGGCACTATTTCTACATTCCACTATTATTTGATAAGTGTAACTAAAGTTGGTATTTTCTGAACTAACAAAAACTTTGTTTGATTTCATTTATTTTTATCACATACCTGATGAATCTCAATGTTTTTTCCATTGCCATTTGTGATAAAAAAAAGATTTTTTTTTATGGTTGTTAAAATTACAAACGAACTAGGAATCAATTCCTATTTTAAGTAACTATTCTATTCTTTAACAATTAAAGTTCAGGGAATTTAATTTGTCTCTTGAAAGTTTTTCACGTTGTCTGAGAGCCAGATAGCTCTGGGTATGTGATCAAAAGATAAGGGAGGGGGTGATCACATTTTTAGTTTAAAAAATTAAACCAGTTTACTATAAAACAATTTAATGTGTGGGGAATTTTTTTTTATTTTAAGCTTACTTTTTTAAAAATACAATCTGACTTTTACCGGATGATCTCTTTCTTTCAATTAATTAAAACATTGGACTAAAACTTGATTATAAAGAGGATTACAATTTACACTTGAACCATGACTATTATGTTTACATTTATCTGACTAAAACATAACTTTTGGGATTGAACATCATTTCAGAGGTTTTTGTATTAAAACATTTCTAATGTTTATAATTGTTAATGTTCTCTAATTTTTAATTTGTACAGATTTTACAACATGTATTTATTTCATATTGACCATATACATTTTTTTTATTTTTTGTAAACATATTTCGATTCGTTTTATAAGATAATTTAAGGTTCTGAGATGCTAAGTTTTCTTAACTGTTTGATCCCTAACACGCCCAGTGATTTACAAATCTAATAATGTGGATATTAATCCATACATTCAACCCTTAGATAGGGAAGACAAGCTGGCCATATGGTGGGTACAGTTACAAAAATATTATTGGATTTAATTATTTGTTTAGGATAGCTAGAAATGGAATTCACAGAATTGACACTTGAATTCAAAAATATTTTGTTCCAACATTTTTCTGAATTGAGAGTTGCTTTTTTTTTTTTTTTTTTTTTTTTTTTGTTGTTGTAGTGATGTTTTATTAATTTAAAAAAAAAAAAGAAAGTTGTTTGTTTAATGATACTTTTGAGCCAAACACAATTTGTTTTGATAAACAAAATTAAATAGTCTTAAATATTCTCCAGATTTGTGAATATGTAATGTTTAAAGATGCTTTAAATATTATAGTGATTATGTTATTAGTTTAAATTTTATTGTTGTTTAGTAATATGCAATTTTTTTTTTTTGTAAACATAAAAATAAATCTGATACATTTTTGTAAAGGCAATATTTAACTGAACAAATGTTTCTTTTTTATGCTTTACTGTTGTAACATGAACCAGTTATATATATAAATATAATATAATCAGACATATGATAAAAAATACTGTTGATGTAAAATTTTAAAACAAGGCCACAAGAACTGAATGTGCACAAACATTTGGACTAGCAAAGATAGCACCTAGCAAAGTTTTAAAGTTCTCGTAGCATAATAACTTTTGGTATTTGAAGTTTTATATTTGTGGTCTATTATACATTTTTTTTTATTTTAGTACAGTTCTGTAAGAAAGTTAAGAAATAAATCTGTTTCAATTATAGCCATAACTTTAATGTCAGTGTGTTATAGTTGTAGAAAATTCTTTGAATAATTAAAATATTTGTTGAAGTAAAACTGTATCACCTTACTCTAATTTAAGTACCAAAAATGACTTAAAAACATATTTTAAAGGGCTGTTGTCCTGTGATGTTATTAAAAAATATTGTTTAATGTTTTAAGTGATGCTTATTTCCCCTTGTCTGAGTTTAGTTTATTGAATTTTTGTTGTAACATAGACTGCAATGATAGTTTTAAATTAAGGATAGTTTTCTTTTGCTTTACAAAAATTGTGAATTATAAAAATTTTTTTTATTTAGTAACTTGTCAATGAGTGTTGTGATTGCTTTTCTTTGTTCAATGACGAAGTAAACTAAGGTAATGTTTTTTTTTTAAAGTAAAATTGTAAAGTTTTAAAAAATGTTTTGTATTTAAAAAAAGGTTGTTGCAAAAAACTGTAACTGTTGTTTGAAATTGATTATGTTGGTGTTGATGGCACAAATAGTTGTATATAGTGAACAAGACTTAATCTGCTTGAAGTGGTTAGTTGAGGCCAAAATAATTCGTTTATATTTTTTTATACTTTAAATGTTGCTGTTTTGTGATTTTAAAGAGAATATTTTTACCAAAGCATTTAAAATTTATCTTTCAAGAAATACAATTTACATTCTAAAAATGATTTGCATGTTTCTACAAATCTGTTATTTATTTTAAAACAATCTACAGTACTAATACAATTGTGTAGCTATATATTTTAGTTCATGCAATTTTTTTTTTACACATTTTAAATACCCTTTTTTTCCTATCTGGATAACTGTTAATTTATGAAATGCAAGTTAATTTAAAATTGATTTTAAGGTTTTTGTAATGCAAATGAAGTTTTATCATTACTTTGTGCTTCTTCCTGTCAATAAATGTTGATGTCATTTGTGAAATAAGTTGTTTTTTGTCTTATGTATAAGAGGTTATGCTAAAAGATTAGCATGATGGCACACACCAAACCTGGAGTCATTTTTCTATAATACGGGGAGGGGTGCAAATAACATATACTGAAGAATTATTGCCTTTGTAGATATTTCCCAAACTCGTGAATGTAGGATGTTAAAAAAATTTCATTGTAATTACTAATTACAATTACCAAGTACATAAAGAAAACTGAAATGAAAAAAATTGATAACTGTGATATAAAAACTAACACTTTAAAAAAACAACAGAACAAGAAATTAGTTTTAATTTCAATTATTTTAATATCAAAATAATTTTGTAATAAGGTCAAAGGTAATGTATCTCAGTAGAAACAGTACACAAAACTTTACAACTAACCTAAGGCCAAAAATATTTAGAGGAATTATAAACAAAGTCAATCTAAGGAAAATATTTCTTTCAGATCATGAGTCAACAGCATAAGATGAAAGAAGTCACAGAGTAGATTCCAGCAGTTTAAAATGTCACAAACTGAAATCTCCAAACGAAATGATTTGATCCAATGTAAAGATTATGTCACGTACATTATTCTATTTATAAATGAACTGGGAATGTGTTGAGTCAAAAAATACATCAAGTGACAAAACATTGCATAGCGAGTGGATATGAAGACCCACTATACATGAACATGATTTATTTTTGTCTTATTTACAACTAGTTACAAGTCAAAACACAGGCGAATATAATTATTATGAGTTCTGCTGCATAAGGGTAATGAAATTAGTCTAAATAACAAGTGCTGATGAAATTCAAAAACACATGTTGACAACACATGAGAAGCACAACTGAACTGCTAAATGTTGAGTTTAATATTCGTTAATCTTGTTCTTTATGAAATTATTTGGACTTAAGTCATAACTTTAATGGCAGTCATTAAAAGACATTTGAGCATCCATTCATTGATATCTCTCACATACTTTTATCCCACAAAGATTAAAAAAAAATTCCATCCACACAGCTGATGATGTAATGTTTTTTGTAACAAACCTAGCAGTAAAAAAATCTTCCAATTTAAAATTCATCCCATTTCAGACACACTATTTACACATTTAGCAAAAAAATAATTTTTCTCAAAAAATCAAACTGAAAAGAATTCATACGATAGCTTAATTTCTATTGCTCTACATTATTTTCACCCATCTTAGAATGTACACTTTTTTAACAATAAAAAACTTTACACAAGGAATGAATACAGTCTTACCTGGAACATATAAAATGGTTAAGATATGAACTAATTAAAAAATGTTTCATTAATTTCCTTGCATTGTTTAATAATCAACACACTAAAACATACACACTATTCTACATGAAGTATTCATAACTTTTGGGCATATTTGGCAAACCAGTTTGATTATATACAACAGCACTGTCAGGATTATCAGCAAATTCTGCTCCTTTGGCCTCCTCTGTTTCATAGTCTGCACCTTCAAATCTTGACCGGCAGCAGAACAGAATGATACACACTAGCAGTATAACCAGCAATGTGCAGCCAACTGTGGAGAAATATTCAGAAGCAGCATTTGAAAAATATGCCTGCGCATTATAAAAATGAACCAAAATTATAGTATTCTAATATTAATGCATTCATGATTTTGGTAAAAAAACTTGGCATACTTTTGTTTTCTATGGATCAGAATGTATGAAATATAATTTGTCATTAAGTTTCAAAACATGAGTATATTTTTTTCAAGAGAAAAGCTTATCTATTTTTTCTTCTTTCAATCTTTTAAAACTAACGAGCCGACCCGCGGCGTATCACACACCACTATTTAGTTGTTTTATTTTCTACTTTTCAGTAATTCATAATTTGTGAATTCGACAGTACCAATGCTGCCACTGAAAATATTTGCTTTAAAACACTACCAGTAGGTTGTTAAGGACGATAACCCCCCCCACCCTACTTTCCCCAAACCCCTACCCCCTCCCCCGTGAAAGCAGCCTCCTCTGAGTTACTCCCCTAAGTTTAAAATCGTTTCAAACTAAATTATCTGCCCCTAACAGCAGTCACTAAACCCTGCTCTACGATTGTAAACGTTTAGCGTGAACCACAGCTCACCAGACCAAGTGGGGGTGGGGTTAGTTGGGATATGCTTAGAGAGGAAGAGAGGGGGCTGCTAGGCACTTAGTGTTTTCTAGGGTATCCAAGAAGAGAATTATATATATATAGATATCTTGTAGGACATTCAATTACAATCTATGTTTATAATTTTAGTGGTGCTGCATAAGTAGGCCTACTAAACGAAAATTGATGGGAAAAAGTTGCAATGAAATTTGAAAATAATTGCAGTCTTTTAGAATTAAATGATGTTTGGAGTAAAAAAAAAAAAGACTGTTAAAATTAAGCACCTCCAACTAAAGCTTTCTCCTCATCAGTGAGAGGTGGCTCTGTAGCTCTTCTGTATGTGACGTTCTGTAAAACACCAGTAAATGGCCGGGTTTGGATTGGTTCTGGTGACACAGTGATCTCCTCAAAGCTGCACATATCCTCCTTTACCTAAGTCAAGGTGATAGTTGTAGGAACAGTAGTGGTAAAAACATTTGTTGCAAGAACATTAGTTATAAGAACATTTGTTGCAAGAACATTAGTTAAAAGAACATTTGTTACAAGAACATTTGTGGTAAAAATATTAGTTGCATGAACATTAGTTAAAAGAACAATAGTTCAGTTTTTTAAATTCAGTTTTTGAATGAAAGGATTGAAACAGATTCTGAATGTGTATAAAGTTACTACAGAACATTTTTACATACTTTATCATCAGGAATTAAAGCCATGTAAACAGGCTTTGGATCTTGGAAAGCTCTTTTAAGTGGGAAAATATTATCCACTTGCATCCGGTATATACATCCTTCAAATCCACGATTAGTATTAGTGGTATCTGAGTAGATTGAATTGTGGAAAAATTGTTAGTTCAGTACTTTACCTAAACTTTGGATAAAAACCTTTTAAAAAAAAAACAACAAACTACTTGCCATTGTTGCCAATGAACAGATACTTGGGGTTGTCCAGGATGGTATCTGAGCTACTGGAGGCATCACCAAACCTGTAGAAGGCTGCAGGGTAGTTGTCAACCTGGTGAACACATTTAAAAGAATATCACATCAGGCAACCAGCTTATACAGGCACAAGTTTTATGGCACTATGTCTTCACTTCAAACTTTTTCCAAGGCTAGAAAATTTGGCCAATAAATCTATTTAACTCCCTTAAATTCATAAAAAATAGGCTAAAAATGAAAAGTTAAAAAATACCAACAATCAAGCAAGAAAAGAAATCTCATACTCTATAAAATATATTAAAAAATGCTATTAACCAAATCATAAGAAATAAAAACAAAAATTCGACTATAAGACTAAATCAGAACTTTAAAAAAATGTAAAAAAAAAAGTTGTCAACTTCATGTCTGGTTCATGTAAGGTGTAAATAAAAATATTTAATTTCACATGGATGATGATTAAACAATAAGCTAACAAACCTGGACTTTAATATCCTTTCCGTAGTTAGAGCGCTCTATAACAACAACATGAGTCTGACTGTTAGCGTAGTCAATACCCAGCTGCATGGGGGTGTTGACTTCAACTCTCTCAAACCCTACGTCCATGGCCACCTTCACACCACCTGCATAACATTTTTTTAAATTTTATTTTCCAGCAAACAGAAGCAGACAAACACCAAAATTTATAACTACGTTTGAAGCGGTTCATTTGTTTCTATTCAGATGAGATACAAGAAACACATCAGTTTTTCATATCCTAATTGGAGAAGAAACCCACCATTTTTATTTCATACCCTAATTGGAGAAGAAATCCCCTTTTTTCATACTCCTATTGGAGAAGAAACCCACCATTTTTAATCGATGCCCTAATTGAGAAGAAGCCCACCATTTTTAATCGATGCCCTAATTTTTATTTTATGCAATTATTGAGAAGCCCACCTTTTTTTCAAACCTCAATTGGAGAAGAAACCCACCATTTTTATTTCAAGCCCTAATTGAGAAGAAACCCACCATTTTTATTTCATGCCCATATTACAGAAGAAACCCACCATAGAATTTCATGCAATAATGAGACAGTGAAGAAACCCACCATGGAATTTCATGCAATAATGAGAGAGTGAAGACACCCACCATTTTTATTTCATGCCCATATTACAGAAGAAACCCACCATAGAATTTCATGCACTAACGAGAGAGTGAAGAAACCCACCGTTGTTGTTCATCTCCACGCTGATGTACTCAGTGTTGGCCTCATTTCTCATTTGCATGAGGATGCCCTGTTTGACTTTGGTGGAGAAGCCAATCATGGCGCGCTGGAAGTCAGAGGCAGATAGACCCTGGGTCTCATCGAATGTGTACCGCACCATGTAGTTGTTCTTCAGGTTGACACCAACCTCTGATAGTTCAAATAGAAAATTAAAAATGTAACACATTTATGTCTTTATACCATTGAAAGATTGAGGATAAAAATCTGTTTTTTTATAGTAAGCAATAATACATCAATATAAATTGTATTTATTTAGATTCTGCAATGATTTGATGTGAACCCTTTTGTTTCTACCTTAAGATCAACTGACCCATGGAATGTTTGATTAGAAATATTGATAAAATATACAGAATACAAAATTATCCCTAAGCTGTGACATCATGTATAGTAATTCAATATAGAGGTTTTAAATTAATAATAATGATATATTACACTTTATTTCTGCAGTTGAACAATTGTAAATGAAATGAAATGTAGTGCCCTGATATAAAAATACAAGAATTTTTTCCCCTCGATATAAACATGTGATCAGAAATATATATCCTTGATATAAGAATGTCACTAAAAATGTGAGCCTCACCCCTGCCACAGTTCCAGCCTCTCCATGGTGTGTAAGAGCAGTCGCAGCGGTATCTGTCATAGCCTTCACGACATGTGCCTCCATTAAAGCAAGGGCTGCTAGCACACTTACCCACACAGCCTGAATTGTATTTAGAAAATAAATCAATCTTAACAACACCTTAATTTTAATTAATTATAATTATTAAGCAATAAAATGAAAAAAATTATTAACAACTTAAATTTTAATTAGAAAATAATTAAAATGTCGAACACATCCCAACAACACTTAAAAGTTTATTATGAAAATAATGAATTTATAATTATCTTTAGCTTAAATCAGATAGAAAAGTAATAGATGTATTTAGTTAAAAAAAAGAGTATTAACTTCAATAAAAAACCAAAGTAGTTTATTATAAACATATGTTTACCTGCCCTAACACCATACACGTCTCCGTTCCTGAGTTTACCCAGCATGTCCATGAGGCGGCCATTTACTCTCAGTCCTCTCATACAACCCACATAGCCATCTTGGTAGCCAACCAGGGACCCTGAATGGTTTCAACTTTGGTCAACAAGTGTCTCTTAAATCATTGTAGATATAACAATATTTGACTAAACCAATGTGTTCCAGAATATTTGTCTCTTAAAACATGTCCCAGAACATTTGTCTCTTAAAACATGTTCCAGAACAATTGTCTCTTAAAACATGTTCCAGAACAATAGTCTCTTAAAACATGTTCCAGAATATTTGTCTCTTAAAACATGTTCCAGAACATTTGGATGTTAAAACATGTCCAGAACATTTGGATGTTAAAACATGTTCCAGAACATGTCTCTTAAAACATGTTCCAGAACATTTGGATGTTAAAACATGTTCCAGAACATTTGTCTCTTAAAACATGTTCCAGAACATTTGGCTCTTAAAAAAAGTTGCAGAACATTTGGCTGTTAAAACATGTTCCTGAATATTTGTCTCTTAAAACATGTTCCAGAACAATTATAACTTAAAACATGTTCCAGAACAATTATAACTTAAAACATGTTCCAGAACATTTGGCTCTTAAAACATGTTCCAGAACATTTGGCTCTTAAAAAAAGTTGCAGAACATTTGACTGTTAAAACATGTTCCTGAACTAAAGCTAAAATCATTTTTGTGCCACGAAATAATTATATTAAATAATTGCGACTTAAATAATGACTGACCAACGTAAAGAGGGCTGGTGAGATCCAGCTGTCTGATGAGGTCAGCGTCCTCATTCAGGGCAGTAGCTGGGTAATCATCAACTTTCATCCAGGCCTGCTTGCGGTTCTTTTCAACATGGATGGTGTGCCATGTGTCGTCATTCAGCGGGGAAGGGCTTTTAAAGGCGAGGACTGACACCCCGTTACCCACGTCATAACGGAACTGTATCGTGTTGGACTCTGGAAAATATAGTGAAGATACAAGTGAATATACCGCAAGGGATAATATAAATCAATATATTGCAAGTGATAATTTATGTAATTATATAGCAAGTAATATATTAAGTAAATCATCAATTCATGATGTCAAGTTTAATTAATATGAATACAACAATGTAAAAATAAGCTTGCTTGAGAAATATGCGTTACTTCTAATAATAATAATTAAATCAGCAAAATAATTCCAGATTAATCATATAATAAAGTAGTCAAGTCGTAACATTTATAAAAAGCTTACGGAAAAGCCTGATTTCAATAAAGTCTGCAACTTCTGAACCAGTGCAATGTATCAAAACACCATCCTCAGCTGTTGTTTTAAACTGCATCCAAACATCCCCAGCTGTCTGGGCTTCAAAGGTAGGGAACTCTAAGGCACCATCTTTCTGGGTGAAGGTCACAGTGTTATCAAACAGATCTGAAATCATTGAATGTATAATTAATTATTGTTATATAAAAAATAAAAAACCCAGGAAAACCAGTCATAGTAGGGTACTTCATGTCAAAGAAAAAATGCACAAGTTTTACTCAAATATTAAGAGCAAAGAAGCATGAAGTGAAGTACGACTATTCACTGACACCATAGCATGAAATGAAGTACGACTACTCACTGACACCATAGCATAAAATGAAGTACGACTACTAACTGTCACCATAGCATGAAATGAAGTTCGACTACTCACTGTCACCATAGCATGAAATGAAGTACAACTACTCACTGTCACCATAGCATGAAATGAAGTACGACTACTCACTGTCACCATAGCATGAAATGAAGTATGACTACTCACTGTCACCATAGCATGAAGTGAAGTTTGACTACTCACTGAGACTACTCACTGACACCATAGCATGAAATGAAGTTTGACTACTCACTGAGACTACTCACTGACACCATAGCATGAAATGAAGTACGACTACTCACTGACACCATAGCATGAAATGAAGTACGACTACTCACTGACACCATAGCATGAAATAAAGTACGACTACTCACTGACACCGTAGCATGAAATAAAGTTCCACTACTCACTGTCACCAAAACATTCCAGTTCTCCTATCTCATGCTCTGCCCACTTGTCATCAGTTGTAGAACCTGTGTCCCCAAACCTGAGCTCCAACACAGGCAGATACTCTTTGTGTTGGAGGTAACCCTGGTCCACTTTTACATCATTCACCTGTTGAAGTACAGAAAATGGTTTATACTGTTACAAATACACAAATACATAGTTAAAATAAAATAAAGGTGTAAAAAAATAATTAAATACAGCAGATACAGATACAAATGACAGTTCAGATAACAGTTTACCACAGTAACAAATGACAGTTGAGATAAAACCTACTGTTTAACAAAGGTACAAATGACAGTTCAGATAACAGTTTACCACAGTAACAAATGACAGTTCAGATAACAGTTTACCACAGTAACAAATGACAGTTCAGATAACAGTTTACCACAGTAACAAATGACAGTTGAGATAAAAACTCACTGTTTACCACATATACAAATGACAGTTCTAACAAAACTCACTGTTTACCACATATACAAATAACAGTTCTAACAAAACTTACTGTTTACCACAGATACAAATAACAGTTCTAACAAAACTTACTGTTTACCACAGATACAAATGACAGTTGAGATAAAACTTACTGTTTACCACAGTAACAAATGACACTTCAGATAAAACTTACTGTTTACCAGATACAAATGACAGTTGAGATAAAACTTACTGTTTACCACAGTAACGAATGACACTTCAGATAAAACTTACTGTTTACCACAGATACAAATGACAGTTCAGATAAAACTTTACCACAGTAACAAATAACAGTTCTAACAAAACTTACTGTTTACCACAGCAATAAATGACAGTTCTAACAAAACTCACTGTTTGCCACATATACAAATGACAGTTCTAACAAAACTCACTGTTTACCACATATACAAATGACAGTTCTAACAAAACTCACTGTTTACCACATATACAAATGACAGTTGAGATAAAACCTACTGTTTAACAAAGGTACAAATGACAGTTCAGATAACAGTTTACCACAGTAACAAATGACAGTTCAGATAACAGTTTACCACAGTAACAAATGACAGTTCAGATAACAGTTTACCACAGTAACAAATGACAGTTGAGATAAAAACTCACTGTTTACCACATATACAAATGACAGTTCTAACAAAACTCACTGTTTACCACATATACAAATAACAGTTCTAACAAAACTTACTGTTTACCACAGATACAAATAACAGTTCTAACAAAACTTACTGTTTACCACAGATACAAATGACAGTTGAGATAAAACTTACTGTTTACCACAGTAACAAATGACACTTCAGATAAAACTTACTGTTTACCAGATACAAATGACAGTTGAGATAAAACTTACTGTTTACCACAGTAACGAATGACACTTCAGATAAAACTTACTGTTTACCACAGATACAAATGACAGTTCAGATAAAACTTTACCACAGTAACAAATAACAGTTCTAACAAAACTTACTGTTTACCACAGCAATAAATGACAGTTCTAACAAAACTCACTGTTTGCCACATATACAAATGACAGTTCTAACAAAACTCACTGTTTACCACATATACAAATGACAGTTCTAACAAAACTTACTGTTTACCACAGATACAAATGACAGTTCTAACAAAACTTACTGTTTACCACAGTAACGAATGACACTTCAGATAAAACTTACTGTTTACCAGATACAAATGACAGTTGAGATAAAACTTACTGTTTACCATAGTAACAAATGACAGTTCTAACAAAACTTACTGTTTACGACAGGTACAAATGACAGTTGAGATAAAACTTACTGTTTGCCCCATGAGGATGTCGCAGTAGCAGGTGGAGCTCTGACCCCCACAGCCCTCTTCGTCCAGACCACACTTACACTTGCCGGAGCCTGGGGCTGCACCACCCCAGTAGTACATGGGTTGGAATGTTCTCCCAACCCACCAACCCCAAGTTCTGATACTTGGGTCAGGCATAACCCCTGTGGTCAAACAAGACAATAATCCACTTAAAAATAATAGAGGCTAATCTTCAAATGTTTTTCTTTTACTTTTTTTTTTTTACCTTAGTTCAAAGTTGGGTTAGATTTTAGATGGAAGTAAATGTTAAGGTTTACATCCACCAATTTGTTTCTTTTCTTAAAACGCTATAATTTTGTTCTCCACATTTTTGTTTTTTTTAATGTTCAAAATTCATTATATAATTTATAAATTACCTGGACTGGAAAGGAAACGAGAATTCTTGCAACGGTAAAGCACATTTTGTCTGCATGAGACAGACCTGTCAATCAGTTCTTCCAGCTCACGTATTTCAGCAGTATTGTATTTAATCTTACGAACATATGAGCCAGGATCTTGGAATCCATTTACACGTATGGCCCCCATACTGTCATGGGCCAGGTAGGTGATAATCGTACCCGTATCATCTAGAACATAAATAATAAATTATGTAATAAAAAAAAATAATTTGTACACAATCAATAAATGCTCAGACTTGCTCAAGACTACAAACCAAATAATATATAATTTTGTAGAAAACAACCCAGCAAAAGTTTAGCAAAAAAAAAAAAGGATTTAACAGGGTTATAGCTTGGAGATTTACCATCACCTACCTCTTTCACATGATGCTTGAAAAGGTTTTAAAGGTCCTGCACCATCGAGATCCAGCATGGCGACCTCTTTGCCCTCAATATTTGAGTAAAACTTGTGCATTTCACAAGACACATGATAAGAAGCTAGAAAAAATAAAACAAGCTTCACATAAGCATTAGAGAAGAGAATTTCTGGAGATATAGCTATTGGTCTTAAGTATGAATATCATCGAGAGAAAATTTTAATGGAATAAAAAATATGTATGCTAGTTATTTCTTTATTTGACGAATGTCCATGATTATTGCAGTGTTGTGAATCATTTCCTCACAGACATCACAAGCTTACAGGCACAGCAAGACAACTTACAGGCATGACAAAGTTCACCAAAGTACCCTGTGTCACCACATTCACAGGTAAAGACAACTTACAGGCATGACAAAGTTCACCAAAGTACCCTGTGTCACCACATTCACAGGTAAAGACAACTTACAGGCATGACAAAGTTCACCAAAGTACCCTGTGTCACCACATTCACAGGTAAAGACAACTTACAGGCATGACAAAGTTCACCAAAGTACCCTGTGTCACCACATTCACAGGTAAAGACAACTTACAGGCATGACAAAGTTCCCCAAAGTACCCTGTGTCACCACATTCACAGGTGAAGGTGCTCCAGGTTTGTTTACATGTCCCGTTGTGCTCACATGGGTTAGGGGTGCACCTGGCATGGAAGGTCAAAGTTCAGAGGTTAACATAAAAAAAATGGGGTCTAAACACGAACATGTCTCATAACATTAGTTAGGTTTACAAAATAAGGTTACATTTTGTTTTTTTTTAATCAAAGTAAGGCTAGATTTATATTGAAGTATGTTTAGATTTTATCAAATTAAGGTTAGGTTTACATCAAAGTAAGTTAAAATTAACATAAAAAAGACAGATTTACAGAACTTGTAAAACACCAGTTACCTGTCTCTGATAGCACAGGTGCCAATCTCAGCCCCGTATATACTTGAAGCAGCGTTCTGTGTCAAGGTGTCCAAACTCACAGCTTTCTGAGCTATCTGGATGTCCCTCATGCAACCACGGAAACCATTAAACAGTTCATGCCCACCTTAACATAGTTAAAAAAAAGCCATAAAATCTATATTAAAAAAGAAGCACCATGATAAATTAACTAAAAACAATATACTGCAACATTTCACCAACCTATGTAGAAGTCAGTTAAAGCTTGAACACTTAATTTCCTCAAAGAAACTTTAGAGTTTCTGTCTACAGTGCAGTTGATCTTTTCGTTGTCAATGTACATATATAAAGAGTGCCAGAGGCCATCAGTGAAGGAGCTATCAGGGGCACTGACATCGGCTGAGAAATGTTTTAAATGTCATGAAAAATATTGAAATGTCATGAAAAGTATTGAAATGTCATGAAAAGTATTAAAATGTCATGAAAAGTATTAAAATGTCATTAAAAAAATTAAAACGTTATGAAAAGTATTGCACCTTATAAAATTTGAAACTTCTGCCTTTTTATAGATGCATACATTATTTTTAGAAGCTATAGAAATTTTCAAGCACTATAAAAATTTTTAAGTTATCAGAAGTTTTCAAGTACATGAGAAGTGCAGACTGAACTCACTGTTTCTGACAATGTCCTCCACCAAAACTCCATCAGCTGTTTTAAGAGAGTACTTGATGTAGCCATCTTGATCCAGCATGATCTGTAGACAGGAAATATTGCATGGGCTCAGGTTAAAATTGACAAGTCAGGACACACTTCAACTAGATAAACAACCACCCAACATGGTGCTAAGAGATTAAAAAACTGTCAAACAACAAGCTGGAGCTTCAAACAACCCACAACTTTTACACTATGGACATTTTTTTCTACGTTTTCTTTAACTTGCTTTCGTGTCTGTTTGTTTGTTTGTTTGTCTTTCCATCAAACCTTGCGATCGAAATTTCGGGCACTTCCCAGCTAGCTAGCGCGCTGACATTTTCAGGGAAGCTTTGTTTCCGATGACAATACAATATTCAATTATTATTATTACTAAATTGATCCATGGAAAAATTTTATTGATCATTTTAGGCTCCTATTGATTTGTACAAAAAAGGGACATAACCTAGTAATTGTAATTTGATAAAAACAAGGTTCGGTACTTTCCCTCTTCTGCTACTTTTTAGTTCAATCAGAAAACATGGGTTTTTAAAAAATTTTTTAATGATAATTATTTTTATATTTTAAAATTTAAAACTTGCAATGGACATATCTATTAACAGTTAACTCTTTGGATGTTCCATTATTTTCTTTATGATTATACTTTTTTATAGACTTGTCTGCATTAAAATTTCTTTGTGGATTTATGTTAAGTAAAAATTAAAATGGAAAAACCTACAGTTAAATAGCTATCAGCATTCATTGGATGATAGACCAGCAGCCCATCTTCGTCGTGAGTTCTAAAATCAAGAGACACGTGGATGACCCGGCCAGATAAGGCAGTGACAAACAAATGAGATGCCAGTGAAGGGAAGGTTATTGGAACTTTGGCAGCAACCTGTTAAAAAGTATGGTAACAGTTTGTGGTAAAAAAAAACAGATGTACATATAGGCCTACATTGTGTACATCTGTAAGTTACATTAAATAAAAAGGCAGTAGACTTAAAGTGTGATGGCTTCAACTCTTTTTATGTATCCTACGAACAAAACACCCTTTGACTTAGTCCAAATTATAATTTAATATTATAAGAAAAAAAACTTACATTACAGTAAGGGTTGACATTGTTTTTTGTAGAGATGGTTGATATAGTACCACTCATGGCGTCTCTGATCAGTTTAGCACCATTGAGGATGACATTCTGTACACATCCCACAAAGTTGTACTTGACTGAGATGCCATCTTGGTTGAAGAAGGGGACACCACCAATGTACATCTGCACACAATTTCAATAACCCACTCAGTAAATTATATTAGTTTAGATATCTGATATATTTACTTATTATTATCAAACAATGGAAGTTACTAGATACATTTAACATTACACCATAAAAATAAACTTAATTTCTAGCACAATACAATAAAGAAATTTGTTGGAGCTTATTCAGTACATGCAATATACTCATACATATCTAGCCTCTAGATACCATATACTCACATATTTGTCAATATCTAGCTTATAGACACCATATACTTACATATTTGTCAATTTCTAGCCTCTAGACCCCATATACTCACATATACATATCTGTGCGGCGTCAAAACGGCCCCGACATAAGAGCCCTGTCAAAATGGCCTGCGACATATGGACCCCGTCATAAAGGCTCCCATTATATAGGTTCCCGACAAAAGGGCTCCAGTCAATAAGGCTCCAGTCAATAAGGCTCCTGACAAATAGGCTCCCGTCATTTAGTTTCTCCACAAAATGGCCCCCGTCATTGCGACTCACGAAAAATAAGCCCCCGTCATTTTGGCTCACGACAAATAGGCTCCTGTCAATTTGGCTCCCAACAAAAGGACCACTGACAATACCGTTTCTGTAGAGACTAAGTCTCCCGGCAAAGCGGTGTCATGACACCTGCCAGTGGGACCCCTTCATCAATATTCTTTAGAGTTAGCTTATCCAACACTCTTAAGTAATACAACATTTGCATCTCTTGTTCGACAGGCCTTATTTTTATATTAGTTTATCTGTTATAAGAAATAGTATGTTTGAATTTAAGGGTCATCTATCTATGACTTCCATAATTGAGTCGGTTATAGGCTGTTCCAACTCAGTGTGTGGGGAGAGGGGTCCATACTGTACCTGCCAACATGCAGTATGCTTGTAAGTTATCAAAACAAAGTGCCGTTATCCTGTAAACATCATGTATATCATAAATTTTCACTTCTGTGCTCGCTTTTAAGCAACAGATCTTTACTGTTGTAAATTAAACATTATCAAAATTTTAGAATTGGTGGATTTTAGCTGTTAAGGGCTTGATTTGTTTGTGAATTGATGTTTTTTCATGGAAAAGCAATTTCATTCAGGCATTTAAAAGAGGTTTTAGTTCTAGTGGAGGGAGGACAAAATGGTTACTTTTACAATTCATTTGTCTGTAGCCAATATGTCGGGAGCCAATATGTCCTGAGCCTATATGCCGGGAGCCTAAATGTCGGGATCCTATATGTCGCGAGTCAATATAACGGGAGCCGATAAGTCGGGGCCCTTTTGACGGGGCTATTTTACAGGGGTCGATTTGACGGGGTCAAATTAACAGGGCCGTTTTGACAGGGCACCATACATATCTAGACTCCATTATACTCACATATTTGTCAATATCCAGCCTCTAGACCCCATATACTCACATACACATACCTAGCCTCTATAGACACCATACACATTTATCAATATCTACACTAGACCCCATATACTCACATATACATATCTAGCTTATAAACCCCATATACTCACATACACATACCTAGTCTCTAGACCCCATATACTCACATATACATATCTAGCTTATAGACCCCATATACTCACATATACATATCTAGCTTATAAACCCCATATACTCACATACACATACCTAGTCTCTAGACCCCATATACTCACATATACATATCTAGCTTATAGACCCCATATACTCACATATTTGTCAATATCTAGCCTGTAGAACAGCCCAGTTGTGTCCACCTGGTTGATGAGCCTGTCCACTACAATCTTTACGGTCTTCTTGTCCCTGGTGATGACAATGTCGTGCCACTGGTTGTCATCCAACAAACTGCCAGCCTTGACCACTGTCATGCCAGCGTTCTCAGCAGTTGAGCCTGGTCAGACACAATACAAACATCAAACTGTGAGCCTGGTCAGACACAAGACAAACATCAAACTGTAAGCCTGGTCAGACACAAGACAAACATCAAACTGTGAGCCTGGTCAGACACAAGACAAACATCAAACTGTGAGCCTGGTCAGACACAAGACAAACATCAAACTGTGAGAATGGTCAGACACAAGACAAACATCAAACTGTGAGCCTGGTCAGACACAAGACAAACATCAAACTGTGAGCCTGGTCAGGCACAAGACAAACATCAAACTGTGAGCCTGGTCAGACACAATACAAACATCAAACTGTGAGCCTGGTCAGACACAAGACAAACATCAAACTGTGAGCCTGGTCAGACACAAGACAAACATCAAACTGTGAGCCTGGTCAGACACAAGGCAAACATCAAACTGTGAGCCTGGTCAGACACAAGACAAACATCAAACTGTGAGCCTGGTCAGACACAAGACAAACATCAAACTGTGAGAATGGTCAGACACAAGACAAACATCAAACTGTGAGCCTGGTCAGACACAATACAAACATACAAACCCAAATCAATCTTGAAGTACAAGATGTGTACGAGAACGTACCCAAATCAATCTTAAAGTACAAGATGTGTACGAGAACGTACCCAAATCAATCTTAAAGTACAAGATGTGTACGAGAACGTACCCAAATCAATCTTAAAGTACAAGATGTGTACGAGAACGTACCCAAATCAATCTTAAAGTACAAGATGTGTACGAGAACGTACCCAAATCAATCTTAAAGTACAAGATGTGTACGAGAACGTACCCAAATCAATCTTAAAGTACAAGATGTGTACGTACCCAAATCAATCTTAAAGTACAAGATGTGTACGAGAACGTACCCAAATCAATCTTAAAGTACAAGATGTGTACGTACCCAAATCAATCTTAAAGTACAAGATGCCTCTGGAAAGTTCCAACATGAAGAGATCACCCTGGTTGCCACTGGCGTACATCAGGACACCATCAGCACGGGTGGTTCTGAACCTCATCTCCATCAGATCCTGTGAGGTCTGCACAGCTTGCCGGCTCATATCGTACTCAATGTAGCTTTCTCCATCAAAGGACGCTGTGTCTGCCTCTGTTGTTGTAAATAAATACTTTGTTATTAAATTTAATTAATTGATCTCCACAAAGGCAAAAATTAAAATTATACTAAACTTTTAAAAACTTTAAGGTTAATTAGTAAATACAGTACATGTAAATTCATACACAGAGTACTTCAGTTATAATTCTTAACCCTCAATTTTATATTATTTTTAAATGGTATTAACATAAAACTAGGCAAACTGCAAACATGTTGTATAGGGCAGAATTCTTATAACCATAAAAATTAACATAAAGTTAGGCAAACTGCAAATATATTGTGACATAGCAGAATTCTTGTAAGCAGAAATATCTTTTAAACAAAGCCTACCAAAAACACATCCAACTATTTCAACTCGCAAGGAAATGACCATGTTCCATCTCTGCGGGTTAAAACGAACATAACGAGCCACAATGGGGTAGGTCAAAACTCGCATCTGCAAGGAACTGTCATCATTGTTGCCTTCAAAGATCTGTCAAAATACATAAGAACTGATTTAGCATCAAAACACTGAACAGAAACTACTATTAATCATAACAATACTAGTCTGCAGTCAAAATATTAGCTGAATATAATTTACTCTAGATTTCCTGTCTATAAACATAAAATTAACTACAGCAATAGGAAATTAGTGAGGCTACATAGTTCTTATCATTTAGGGTAAAACTCCTTAGAGCCTATGATTGCTCTCAAATCTCTGGTATATAAAACTTTTGACATGAAACAAGCACCAGGGGCCCAACACTTATTAAAGAAAACAAAAACTACCTCAGGGATCCCCAACTGGTTTGTGTAAATCCTCCATGTCGAGGCATCGTCAGAGTACTGTAAGAAAAACTCCCTCACATATTCATCGCTGCCCTGTCGACCCTGTACATAGACAGCTGTGACGATGTACTGTTTGGCCAGGTCTACTTGTAGCCACTGGTACGCATTCTGGATGGACGGTGACCAAGCACCTAAAAGATAATTTTTCACAATTATAAGATTTGAGCTACTGGTAATTAATGTGGATTATGACCTTATATTTCCATCAACAAACCTGTCGAACCTTTATCTCCTATAAGTTTATCTACTGACTGTATATTTTCAGCAACTTACCTACTGAACATATACCTTCATCAACATATCTAGTGACCGTAAATTTTCATCAACTACCTGTTGACCGTATATTTTCATCAACTACCTGTTGACCGTATATTTTTATCAACTGACCTGCTGACCGTATATTTTCATCAACTGACCTGCTGACCATATATTTTCATCAACAGGTCTGCTGACAGTATATTTTCATCAACTGACCTGCTGACCGTATATTTTCATCAATTGACCTGCTGACCATATATTTTCATCAACAGATCTGCTGACCGTATATTTTCATCAACTGACCTGCTGACCGTATATTTTCATCAACTGACCTGCTGACCGTATATTTTCATCAACTGACCTGCTGACCATATATTTCCATCAACATATCTGCTGACCATATATTTTCATCAACTGACCTGCTGACCGTATATTTTCAACAACTGACCTACTGACCATATATTTTCATCAACTGACCTGCTGACCGTATATTTTCATCAACTGACCTGCTGACCGTATATTTTCATCAACTGACCTGCTGACCGTATATTTTCATCAACTGACCTACTGACCATATATTTTCATCAACTGACCTGCTGACCGTATATTTTCATCAACTGACCTACTGACCATATATTTTCATCAACTGACCTGCTGACCGTATATTTTCATCAACTGACCTACTGACCATATATTTTCATCAACTGACCTGCTGACCGTATATTTTCATCAACTGACCTGCTGACCGTATATTTTCATCAACTGACCTACTGACCATATATTTTCATCAACTGACCTGCTGACCGTATAATTTCATCAACTGACCTGCTGACCATATATTTTCATCAACTGACCTGCTGAGCGTCCCACTCTGGCATCTTGGGGCTGGCGTTTTGTGTTAAAAGAGCTGGCCGTGAGAGCACTATCTGGTATCCTGCCATCCTCTACCCCCACACGTTGCTGATGTAAAGCTTTGCAGTCATTATATTCATAAACCTCTCCTGCCATGGGGGAAAAAGCATTTTAAGTATTGAATTATGTAGGCCTTAAACTGAGTATGGCGGTCTCTAAGACTTATCTAAATAGATTTTAAACACTTCAAGTTCCGACTATATTCACTATAAGCAATAAGTCTTGTAGATGCATTTCTTATACCAGTGTCTAGATATAATGGCACAATTGAATCTTCTTTAAAAAGGTTACTGGTGGGAGTTAACACATATTAATTGCTAATGTTAAGGCTAACCTAAGTTCTAACCATAAAACTAGTTGAGATTACAATATTGAATACTGAATAGGCCTACTGGGGCTACTACTAACAGCTTAACACACCTATTCAGGAAGTCTGTTATCAGTATCACCACTCCTCTGTGCATTGTATTAATTGTGAATTGACATTAGAATCTCATGCTTATAGATTATTTTCAAATTATTAGAATTAATTAGGCCTAATAGTTCTAATACTAATGTACCTGAATTAATGAGGGGGGGGGGGAAATGGCATGCACCTTTTTGAAAACAAACTTGATCTAACTCATAGACTACTATTCTTATTAAAACAGTATTTTTAAAACTCAAGCATTCAGAGTTTAAAATAAACCTTTAAAAAAAGGGTTTAGCTACGTATCGAAAGCACGTTGATCTCGTATAACCATTACACCTGTAAAAGGTAAACTTGAATACATTCATTTCCGCGTTCTCACCTGAACGGCCATGTTTGTCAAGTAGGTCACCAAAGGTGTGTAAAGTTAACCAAATTTGTAAAATTAAACCACTGACGACACACTAAATAAAGCAGATATGCACTTACTACTTAAAGCTGCCTGGCTACAACGTAGCGAAGAAACGAATAAAAATAACGATAATATAAACTGTCCCATGTTTATCTCTGACTATTTCACTGTCATCTTTCACAGACAGTGTCACAGTTGTCACGTGACCTAAACTCGGAATATGATTGGCTTTTTCTTCCGTCTATACGAAAATACGAAACATTTTAGATCTGCCGCTTCCGTTTATACATAACAATCGCAGTTATGAAAAACCCGATCGATCGTTTTTTTTTTCATTTTACTAAAATTATTTTTCATCAAATATGTACACACATTTAATACTATAGGAGCTTTAACCGTCGTGTAAGAGAACTGCAATAATTTTATGTTAATAGTGAAACAAATAAATGTGGGTGAAGTACAATACTTGTCCTTGTTTCAGTAAAAAAATAACATGTTATATTATCTAAATTTGTATTTTAAAATGTAAAGTGTAAAGCTATTCTAAAGCCCCATGAGCTACAATATTGTGAATGACATATATATTTACGCAAACAAAACAGGGGGAAGCTATTGTCTGGTGTCGGGTATTTTTCCTTATTATTTCCCTTGGACCAGAAACGATTTATTTATAGCTTTATTCATGCTGTGACAGTGCAAGCCAAGGTTTCAACAAAAATTAAACTTTTCTGGAGTCCAATTTTTTAATTTGGTATTTAAAAACAGTTGTTTAAAAGTGTGACTTTACAGAAAATTATTTGTTGTTAATTTTTTTATATAAAATAATTTATATTCCACTCTTCTAAATAGAAAATTAATAAAGAAGTCTTTTATTATGAAGCCTACGCACTTTAAAAGAAAAATGATTTTAAATATAATTTAATATATAATAATAATATAATTTAATTATAATAAAATAATGTACCTTGATTTATAAAAAAAAATTGGGTGTGGTCACATGGTGTTTTTAAAACGTAGATGGGATTTGTATGCTCACATTAAAGTTCAGTTTTAAACTATACGCCTGTGTCAGTGGCGGAACTAGAAAAAAAGGGCCACCCCGCAAAGAATTTTTTTGGGCCCCCTATATATATAATAGTATATATATATATATATATATATATATATATATATATATATATATATATATATATATATATATATATATATATATATATATATATATATATATATATATATATATATATATATATATATATATATATACGAAAATACCAACATAGATTAGAATACTCATTTCGGTCTTGTTCGAGTTTTAAAAAAAAATAATTAAAAAGTTACAACACGTCATTTGTGTGACTGCTATATTAGTCTGTTTAGAAAATTTCTGTTTTAACATGTTTGCTATAATGCCTCCTGTAAATAAGTCGGTCGAAATAATATGAAGCATGAAAGCTGTGTATGTGTAATGGTTTCTCGCCCTGTGTTTATTTTATTTTTTATTTTTTTGTATTTATATTATTAGTTTTAAATACATTTCCTTTTTATGCTTTGTCATTCTTTAATATGTATTCTTTTTAATAATAATTAAGAGAAGTAATTGCTTTTTAATTTGTTGAGTGCAAATCTTTTCAAAGGTGCTTAAGAGCACACATATTTGACTATTTAAAAAAGGGAAATAAGTCATGGAAGTGGTTTGAACGTTTGCGTATCTTTCACGCGATGGATTTATTTTCAAAAGAATTTTGCCGACCATAGCATGTTTGATTGTAGGAGAAAGAGGACTTGAGATGGTGTCTATAGAATAAAGATAATCCAACCTCAGCTTCAGTATTCTTTTTACAAAACAACCATCAAGTCAAAGATGCAAGAAGGTTATTTTTTTTAATTGTAAAAAAAAAAGATGTTATGGTCGGCTGCGGGCCCCTAAACGTCCCGCCCCCCCCCACCCCCCCGCATTGCGGGGTCTGGCGGCACTGTAGTTCCGCCCCTGGCCTGTTTAAAATTAACGACTATGCGTTTCATGGACGGTTCGTAATATTTAAGATAGCCATTTTCTTTTCCAAACGAATACCCTCCGATTTAAACAGCGATCGACTAATGCATTTACTCAATGTGTGTAACTTAAAGTGGCCTAATCTTTAATTCATTCTAAAATTCTGCAAGTGTAGTAGAAAAAAATCTGAGTGAAAAACTTATTGTAAGCCAAAAATCATATTCGAAAAGACAATCTAAAATTTAATAAAATAAAAGCTTGTTAGAAATTAAAGTTAAAAAAAAACAACAACCCATTACCATTGCAGTCTTCAAGGGAAGTAATTTATTTTTCCACATTCTATTTTGTTATTTATTTCCCCTTGACCATTATTCTAGTTATTCTAGCGAAAAATCCCAAAGCAAAATTTTTTAATTTAAATTAAAAAACAAAAAAAAAATGGTGACAGAAGATCTAATGTCCGATCACTAATACCGTACATACAGTTTATTTTTCAGTCACTCACTATAGGAGTTGATATTTTTTTTCGCATATATACGTACATATACACACATGAACAGACATATATACAACTTATACAGCCTACATGTACACATAAATAAATAAATAAATATATATATATATATATATATATATATATATATATATATATATATATATATATATATATATATATATATATATATATATATATATATATATGTATATATATATATATATGTGTGTATATATATATATATATATATATATATATATATATATATATATATATATACATATATATATATATATATATATATATATATATATATATATATATATATATATATATATATATATATATATATATATATATATGTGTATGTATATATATATATATGTGTGTGCTTGTGTGCGTGCGTGACTAGTATATTTTTCTGTATATGTAGGCTATATAATATATAAGCTGCATGTATGTGTGTACAGGTGTGTATATGTATTTATATATCTCTACATATATGTGTAAATATAAGTGAACACATATATATATATATATATATATATATATATATATATATATATATATATATATATATATATATATATATATATATATATATATATATCCTAATGAGACATTGCGATAATTGCTATGGAAAAAATGTAACAAAAATTCTTGTAGACTAGAGGTAAAAAAAAAAGTTGCTTTATTTGTAGCAGCTGTGTTCCCGCTTGTTTTACAAACAGCGCGGAGTAAGACAACAAACAGCGCGGAGTAAGACAACAAACAGCGCGGAGTAAGACAACAAACAGCGCGGAGTAAGACAACAAACAGCGCGGAGTAAGACAACAAACAGCGCGGAGTAAGACAACAAACAGCGCGGAGTAAGACAACAAACAGCGCGGAGTAAGACAACAAACAGCGCGGAGAAAGACAACAAACAGCGCGGAATAAGACAACAAATAGCGCGGAGTAAGACAACAAACAGGATGCGATGTAAATGTGTTCATCTTTGATTTCAAAAAATTCAACAAGATCAGCAATTTATGAGCGGTTAATGCGTGGGGGGTTATTCCATTCCATTAAGGTCACTGTGAACTTGCATTTTAAAATTTGAGGTCAAAATGACTGAATGCTTGTGAGAGTGCAGGGAAGGAATGCAACTCAATGTTATCCACATGCTTAGTTACCTCCCCTTTTCTTCTGGCAGACACAACTGATGATAGAAACGTTAATTAATTATAATGAGGCTGGTATTTTTCTTTACTTTTTAATACACGCGTTTAAATGAGAAACTAATTCTAATTTGAAATTAACACTGTATACATACATCAATTATAAATTTCAAATTAGAATTAGTTTCTCAAAACAACACTGTATACATACATCAATTATAGTTTTGCAATAAGTGTATTCACAATGCGCAAGTATGCACGGTTTTGAGAGTTGATGTCTAAAATGCAAGCTCTATATTCTTGAGGTTAAACATTTGATCAATTCTCATCTTCTAATTTCTTAGGTTTATGGTTAGAGTATGGTGGATCAGTGAATAGGTTAGGAAGTTAACATTGGTAATGGTTAGTTTGAGGAGCGGTAATGTTTGATGTACAGCTAAGGTTAGACGACTCACGGATGTAGCTGTCTGCACCTGGTGGTGCATGATGGGACATGGCGGTCGAAGTTATACGGAGAAGTTTGGTAAAATGGGATGAGGGCTGTAAAATATGGGAGAAGTTTGGTAAAATGGGATGAGGACTGTAAAATATGGGAGAAGTTTGGTAAAATGGGATGAGGGCTGTAAAATATGGGAGAAGTTTGGTAAAATGGGATGACGGCTGTAAAATATGGGAGAAGTTTGGTAAAATGGGATGAGGACTGTAAAATATGGGAGAAGTTTGGTAAAATGGGATGAGGACTGTAAAATATGGGAGAAGTTTGGTAAAATGGGATGACGGCTGTAAAATATGGGAGAAGTTTGGTAAAATGGGATGAGGACTGTAAAATATGGGAGAAGTTTGGTAAAATGGGATGACGGCTGTAAAATATGGGAGAAGTTTGGTAAAATGGGATGAGGGCTGTAAAATATGGGAGAAGTTTGGTAAAATGGGATGAGGACTGTAAAATATGGGAGAAGTTTGGTAAAATGGGATGAGGACTGTAAAATATGGGAGAAGTTTGGTAAAATGGGATGACGGCTGTAAAATATGGGAGAAGTTTGGTAAAATGGGATGAGGACTGTAAAATATGGGAGAAGTTTGGTAAAATGGGATGACGGCTGTAAAATATGGGAGAAGTTTGGTAAAATGGGATGAGGGCTGTAAAATATGGGAGAAATTTGGTAAAATGGGATGAGGGTTGTTAAATATGGGTGAAGTTTGGTAAAATGGGATGAGGGTTGTAAAATATGGGTGAAGTTTGGTAAAATGGGATGAGGGTTGTAAAATATGGGAGAAGTTTGGTAAAATGAGATGAGGGTTGTAAAATATGGGAGAAGTTTGGTAAAATGAGATGAGGGTTGTAAAATATGAGAGAAGTTTGATAAAATGGGATGAGGGCTGTAAATTATGGGAGAAGTTTGGTAAAATGGGATGGGGGTTGTAAAATATGGGAGAAGTTTGGTAAAATGGGATGAGGGCTGTAAAATATGGAAGAAGTTTGGTAAAATGGGATGGGGTTGTAAAATATGGGAGAAGTTTGGTAAAATGGGGATGAGGGTTGCAAAACATAAGCCC